AAGGAAACACCTTACTGCTGTCACACCTCTGTACAGTCAGCAGTACGACTTCGCCTTCGGACCTTAGGTTTGTTGCTTTTAGTCTTACCGCTCTCCAACCGACCTGTCTGACATGGTAGGACTTTGAGGAACGGTTGTTCTAGCCAGTATAGCTCGGTTGCTTCATCACGATAGGCAAGCCCGACCACCACATCAAGGTAGCAACAGCGGTCGGGACCAACGTCATGGAATGAGTCGATAGTTGTCCCTATCTTTAAAAAGGGGTTCATGTCGTTCTTGTAAAAACTGTCGGGGGATAAGTCTACTTCCGATAGCGTCCAAGCTATTGGCTTCCGTCATACTTCGTAGGTTGTTCAAAACGCGAGAAAGATTGACTCGCGAGGAGTAGGCTGGTTTTCGTTCTTGTCGAGGATGTATTGATCATATCTTCACCCTCCGCCAAATGTTAGAACACCTGCTTCGGTCTGGGCACCCGGGCAGTATCACAGCCCTCACACATATCGAATGAGATTTGTGTGGCGCATATGTATTTGGTGCCTCTTTGTACCAATATATATGTGTTGAAATAAATAAATAACACCGCCATACTTATCATTGGCTAACAATCGTAGTGTTTCTGGACATCAGGGCTGCCTTCGATTCGTTGGATAGGACTGTTCTCTGGGATTGTCTATTGAAGAAGAGTGTGCCTGAGGAGTTTATTAACATCCTAAAAGCCCTATACACAAACACCTCAGGCAGAGCGAGGGCATAAAACCACCTCTCTCCATTGTTCCATTTGAGTAGTGGGATTAGACAGGGTTTCCCAATCTCACCATTCCCCTTCAATTTTGCCATCGATGACATTCTGGAAACAGCTCTGATGGATGTAAGTAATGGTGGTGTGGATCTGTTGCCTGGAGAAAGACTTCTCGACCTTGAGTATGCGGACGATATTGTCTTACTGTGCGATAATGCCCAAGGCATGCAATCCGCACTTAATCAGTTGGCAATCAGTGTCCGTAGGTATGGTATGTGATTTGCACCTTCGAAGTGCAAAGTACTTCTACAAGACTGACAGGATTCTAATCCTGTACTTACTCTGGGTGGTGAGCAAATAGAAGTAGTCGAGAAGTTCGTGTATCTGTGTAGCTGCATAAGTGCTGGTGGTGGCTTGAGTGATGAGATCAATGCACGTATAGTGAAAGCCAGAGCAGCTTATGCCAATCTAGGCCATCTTTGGCGCCTTCGTGATGTTAGTCTGGCTGTAAAAGGTCGGATCTACAACGCGTCGATGAGAGCAGTTTTGCTCTATGCTTGTGAAACCTGGCCTCTCCGAGTTGAGGACGTTAGACGACTCTCTGTGTTCGACCATCGCTGTCTCCGAAGGATTGCTGACATTGAGTGGCAACACCATGTTAGTAATGCAGAGATTCGGCATCGTGTGTTCGGGCGCAGAGATGATAATTCAATTGGTGTTACCATCTTGAAACACCGACTTCGGTGGCTTGGACATGTTCTACGAATGTCGTCCCAGAGAATTCCACGTCGTGCATTATTTGCGGACGCTGGGACTGGTTGGAAAAGCAGGAGAGGTGGTCAGTATATGACATGGTGTCGTGGTATGAAAGAAAGTTGCAAAGGGCTGGCTTCTGTTGGCTCTTCACGACTACCTGGTTGGGGTCCGAAAGATGGTGCAACACAGTGGCTAGAGACGTTATCAGATATGGCTCAGAATAGAAGCCAGTGGCGATCCTGCTATAACCTTCTTTTAATTTCTTCATAAAAAGTGGTTGTGTCTCCCTTACTTGAAAGATTTCTTCTGATTGTACCTTTCTGTTTCCCCCATTATTATTATTATTACACTACCTTACACTAATCTGTTAGTTATTGTTCTTTTTTTCTCTTCGAATTCTCATTGTTTCGTGTGGCGCATATATATTTGGTGCCCTCTTGTACCAATATTTGTGTTCAAATAAATAAACACAAAGAGTGGATGCGCCTGCGTCATTGCAAACGATTTTGAGCCATGTCATTCAAGGTTTCTAACCATCGTTTGCTATCGTCTCGCGGATTCCAACCTGGTAGTCTACACCTACCAACATGGGTCAGTTCAATTGTCAATGACTTCTTGGATTTGTGCCATGTTTTGGTCTGGCCGCCCCTAGTTTTCCTCCAACCTCCTACACCATAAGACATCGCACGTTGAGGCATTTGGCGGTTAGGCAAACGTAACAAATGTCCCAGCCACCTAAACTGATTAAGTTTCGCAACTCATAAATTGATTTGCCATCCTTACCTAGTACCCGTTTCCTAACAACTGCATTACTTACTCGGTGGTCCCAGGATATACGAGCAATGCTTCGAAGACACCTTTGATCAAATACCAGTAACCTACGAATATCCTCTACTCTTACTGGCCATGTTTCACTGCCATAAAGCAGGACAGAACGAACTGCTGCGCAATAAACCCGTTTTTTGGTTGGTAGACGGATATCTCGCCTACGCCATAAATGACGCAAGTTGGCAAAAGCTAGTCGAGCCTTCTGTATCCGTGCTGAGATCTCGTCACACACCAGACCACAAGGGCTGATGAGACTTCCAAGATAAGTGGAGCGGTCGACACGCTCATCTACTTCACTTCCTATCATTAGTTCGGGTGTCAATGCAACCCAATCCAGAATCAACATTTTGGATTTCGAGAGGGTGAATCGCATTCGAAACATGCTTGCATTGTTGCTTACGGTAGTCAGAAGATTGAATTTTATTATCGACTCCAGCAAATAAAACTGTCGTCGGCATATTCCAAGTCAGCAAGTGAATCTCCCTGTAGAAGATTAACTCCTGGAAATTCAGATAAGGAAAGTGTTATCTCTAAAAGCACGTCAGCGACAAAGTTAAACAAGAATGGAGAGAGTGAACAGCCCTGGCGAATACCACTTGAGGTAATCAATTCTGATGACAGTTCGTCATAAGCTCTCACTCGGCCAGTTGTGTTCAAGTAGGGAGTCTGTGTAAGGTTAATGTTGGTACTCTTTTCAGTGACAAACACTGCCATAGAACATCACGATCAACAGAGTCAAATGCCGCCTTAAAGTCGAGAAATACTACGATTGTGGGACGTCTTGAATGTGTGTCTGTGTTCTAGAACCTGACGTAGTGTGAATATCTGGTCTATACAACCATGTCCAGGTCGAAAAACAGCCTGGTTTTCTCTAGTCTGCTAATGTTTTAGACACTATTAGTCAAACTGATTCCTCTGTGATTGTCACAAGAGGACTTTTGTCCTTTCTTATAGACTGGCACAATCAGTGATTGAGACCAGTCAGATGGGATTACGTCCAGTTCCAAGATTCTACATAAGACCTCAGTCAATCTCACTGCCAATGCTGAACCGCCATCCTTGAAAATCTCAGTGGTAAACCTGTCAGGGCCTGCTGTTCTCCCTCGCTTCGGATATCCTACAGCTTTTTCAACTTCGTAGAGTTGGGGGACTTATACGAACTTTCCACTCAGGTAGACTGGAGATCGTGAGAAACCGAAGTGTGGATGAAGGCCAGTTGAACTGATATCTACAGTTTTCTGCCCATCGATCCAATCTCCTGAATCGTGTAGTCGTAGCTTGCTCGGTTCAATATTACTTGTCTAAATTACAAGCAAATTCTGTTTTTTAATTTAAAGCATTTACAAAAGCCGTCTATAGTCACCAACGATCGGCCTCCATCTAGCTGAAGACCACTTTTGTCTGTTCTTTGTACTCAGTGTATTTACTGGAGATGATAAGACTTCTAAATTTTTGTTCTGCCTACGTGTTTATATATTTGTTTGTCTACTTCAATCCGAAATATTCTAGGGATTATTTATTTGTACAGACTCATGAATGCTCTTTGTTGCCACAGTATTAACACCTAGTAAAAAGTATGTTTATACATAGTCAACCTGTTTTCTTCCCATTCACATCTTAATACTTTTAAAAAGTTATCATTTGACTAATAATATACATGGGAACATGTTTTGTTCTGCGACAGTTTAGCTTTAACAAGATTTGCTTTTTATATGGGTACAGGTTGTTGTTCGCAATTACAATTCAACCGTTATTTTCTCAATTATGGGGCCGGTTTTATTTTATAAAGCGTCTTTGCAGATGTTTTGTTATTCATGTTTTAATTCACTTAATTTTTCGTATATTGTCCAAATATTGACACGAATCTAAGTTCCTCCCAGAGATTAGCAGAATTTGGAATCACGATTTGTCTAGGCAAAATGTAGACCACACCTCGGGTCATAAAGAAATAGTTATATACATTAGTAACAATTAAGTTATGAAGCTTTGATTTAATAAGCTATTCACTCTACCACTAGCAATCATTGAATCATGAGACGCAAATGCCCTGGTACGGCCGAGTCATCTCTCCCTCGCGAAATGCTCTCATATGGCTACATGTATACAGCCACTGCCAGGAATGTCCTACTCACTGCCTTCTTGCAGTGGGGATGTTGTCTACGAGTTGATGGGTACAGAGGAGTTGGAAAATCCTGACTCCAAACTAGTGGTGCACATGGGCTTCAGGATCCTGAGAGAACAAATAGCGTATAACCCTATTTTTGGTCACCGGTAACCATGGGACTGCTTCTCTCTACTTTACGTTGCTCCACTGCCTTGTGGATTAGACCCTTAGACCAAAAACTTGGATAGTGGCCTCCTAATAAAACCACCTGCTGGGTTTTGGGTGCCCGGACAGTATCCCAGCGCTCACACAAGTCGAATGATTTGTGTGGAGCATATGTATTTGGTGCCTCCTTGTACCAATGTTCGTGCTTATAGACCCAGCTCACGGAATGATTTCACTAAGTTATATCCTATTGCTGAAGTTGTAAATTTTTACTAATAAATTGGTTTGTGGTCTGTTTAACTGCCATATTGGGTGTTGTTACTAAAACTGTAATGCTAACTAAAGTAAGTGTGCTATTTAGTGTGTATTTATTTTTCCTAACTTGTCCTTTTCCTTCTGACCTTTTAGTTCTCACTTTCCCCTATATGATGTTCGTGTTGAATAATGGGAGTTCACTTCCCCCATTGAATCTTATAACCATGGCTACTGTAATCGAAGCAAATGGGCCAGTTTACAATGGACCTGGAGCCAGCAAACCTAGCTCCCCATTTGTACTCTGTAATCTCGAGTTATCTCAGCGTGCTGCTGTAGAAAAGGCCAAAAAGTATGCAATGGAACAAAGTATACGTTCGGTGCTTTTGCGTCAAACTCAGTCACAGCAATCTCTTCAACTAAATAATATAAAAAAGAATCAAACTGTTGCACTTTTGAATCGGGTTTACGTTGGTTCAATAGCATATGATGTAAAGGAAGACAGTCTAAAACAAGTGTTTTCACCGTTTGGTCCTATTAAGTCTGTGAATTTAAGTTGGGATCCTTCTACACAAAAGCATAAAGGGTTCGCATTTCTTGAGTTTGAATACCCCGAAGCTGCACAATTAGCTATTGACCAAATGAACGGTACTAGCTTTGGTGGGAGGCAGTTAAAAGTTGGTAGACCAAGTAACCTAACAAACGCCGAACCTGTCATAAATGAGCTAGTTAATGAGCACAATCTTCATAACCGCATTTACGTTGCTGGCATACACTTAGATCTCACTGAAGATGATGTTTCTTTAGTATTTGAAGCTTTTGGGAAAATAGTGTTTTGCAAGTATGTTTCTGCAAATATACACAACCATTTGTTTCTAGGCTTCAACCTGATCCAACTAGACCGATGCGCCATAGAGGTTTTGGTTACATAGAATATGAATCCACTCAGAGTGCAGCTGATGCTGTTGGTAGTATGAATCAGTTCAATCTTGGTGGACAGCTTTTGAGAGTATGCAAAGCTATCTCACCCCCGGATGGTATTTCAAGTGCCAGTTCTTCTAATCTCCCACCAGCGGCAGCAGTGGCTGCGGCTTCGGCCACTGCTAAAGTTCTATCAATGGAAACAGAGCAGGTAATTATTGACATCATAGCTAGTTCATCTTCTTAGTTGGTTAGTATGTATTTTAAAGGCATCTTTTTTCTTATTATAGCTCCCTGTGAATTCTTATTCAAAGCAACCCGAAGTGGCTCAACCTGTAGTACTGAATACTCTGTCCTCCACAACAACACAGTCTACCAATCTTACCAACAGCTCTTTACCCACATGTTCTCCCACAACAGTCCCAACTACTGGTCAATCAACACTTGACCAGCCCTCATTAAGTGGTAAATCTATAATTTCTTACTTTATCCTAGTTAAATAATTTTGATGTCAGTCTCTATGTGTTTGCTAGTTTAATCTGCTAATTTGTGAATATTCCGCAAGTTTCCTCAGGTCCAATAATAATGGGTTTACTGACTTTACTGTGTGTACCTAAGCTACCAGTAGTCTACGTAATATTCTAATCTACTAATTAAAACTCAATGAATTCTAGGCACATACATCGTACTATTCTGCACCATTCTTATGTGATTATGTATTATAAAATACAAGACTATTGTGCACCAAAAGTAAATACTTATATATTCACTTTTATGCCTCTCATACTCGCGATTGTCCCTCAAACTGGCAACTAATACCCTTTAAGTTAAAAGTGATGGTTATTTAGCATTCTGAATATATCGTTTAGTTACAATTTTATTCTTGTGCATGAGAAGACATACATGGGTAAAGTCAAAAATGCTAATAACAGACTCAAAGCACTAAACCTTGAAATATCCCTCTTGTTTGCAATTGTAATCTGACGCTTTACACGTGAATAATGTCTAACTCTGATTTATTTGGTCATAAATATGCTTCAGAAATTTAAATTCTATATATTCGTTCTACAGAATTCCGTTTCAATCTTTTAGGTAGAATAGTTTCTTCGTATCCCCACATAATAGTACAATGTTTTATATATGGTTTTATTATGATATTAATGTTCATTAGATTAGCTATTGATACTCAAACTTAGTAACTCTATCTTTTATTCACATTTTAAAAAATTTTAACAGCTGAATTTAATGCAACATTCACACATGTGAATAATTACAATGAGAATTCTAATGCTGTTGCTGTAGGGACTTGGCAACCTGAGGTTCCTGGGCAATATTCACATGCCCAACCCTCCTCTGCATCTCCAAGTAGCTTCACATCTCATTCTGCTTCCTCCGGAAATCCAAACTTTTTCTCAGGCGGGTAAGTATGAACATTTTGAAATATACATCAATTTCTTGTTTAAAAACTAGGTATATTATGTTTGTTAGGTTCGTTTTCCTCTCTGCTAATTTTTTCCAACCATTGCTACCTTGACGTAGTGGTCGAGCCTGCCTATCGTGATGAACCAATAGGGCTCCACTAGCTGGGACAATCGTTCCTCAAGGTCCTACCATGCCAGACAGGTCGGTTGAAGAACGGTAAGACTGAAAGCAGAAAACCCAAGGTCCTAGGGCGAAGTCATGCTGCTGCACATGAAACAGGCTTTTTAAGGCGACAGATGAAGATCAAGTTTGTAGTGCTTCACTAGTGTCTCGGATATAGTTCTCATACAGACTATGGACATCGATGTTGAAACTTTCTAAAGACTATATATTTTCTGATCTGCATTAGGGTGCTGACTTTAAAGGAGGCCAGTTTGAATGGCACATGGGGTTTCAGAAGGGCCGGTTCAGAATTCGTATTTGATGGCAGCGTTCAACTTTCGATTAGTCTGTGAATTGATATTGTTTAGATAGGACAGGATTTCCACGATAGGCGAGCTGTTGTATTAGTTGAAAAATAAAAGAATACACAAAGGGGAATAAAAGCGAATAGACAAGTTACGCAATATCAACGAATGTTATGAAATAGTTGTGAATACAATTTTCGTGAGTGAGAATAATTTCTCCACTTGTAGTCATTTAAATTCTGTGAGGGCTAGGATACTACGTGAGTGCCCGAACTAAGCGGAGTAGTTATCTTAGGAAGCTACCTATAGGTCTAATAATGCAGTGGAGCAACGTTATGAGATACGGTCTCGTGGTAACCGGTAACCAAGATTAGGTTCACGCGTCATTTGCTTCTTTAAGATCCTGGAGTCCATGTACACTATTGGTTTGGAACCAAGGTTTTCTAATTCCCCTAGGTGGATCCTCTGTAGCAAGAATCGTATATAGTAGTAAACCAACATGAATGAGAAATAAGTTTTGATACTATGAAGTCCAAATTTTTGGTTCGAGTTTGCAGCTGCTGTATGTGATCAATTTTTCATCGTTCAGAAATTATACACTTCAGTGATTTTCCGTTGTGAAGCATCCATTGACTCAGGCTTTTGAAATAATCTTTTCAGTCATCCTAATTATTCATTATCATATTTGTGGAGGATGATAATAGCTGTCACAGTCCAATGATTGTTCGGTCAAACCCTCCTCACATAATACCCAAACTTTAAATCGCTGTTCAGTTGTTTTATGCATTCACAGAGGTGCAGGTGTTTTAATCAGAGTTGTGGACCTATTGTAAACAAGGTGATCCTCATCTTCCAATTGTGATTAAAAAGTAATATGGTCATTGTGTTCACCGTCAATAGTCTTCCCCTCTATTGATGTCTTCCAATCAGCCCAGGCACAAATAATGTTGAATTAGTTGCAGGATAAAACCATTATTAGTTTCGTCAGATTAAAGTCCCAGAAAAGCCCTATTTCCCTCTTGCTTTTGGCTCCAGTCTTCTCATATACCATCCGTTATGATGAATGCATCTGCACCATATTTCTTATCAAAAGTTAAGCATCTAGGTACTGCTGATTGTTCTGGACGTCCTAACTGGTCATTAAATCTACTGGCATTGGTCCTTCCTTACTTCAATAAAGTGATTCAGTCAAGCAATATACATCCCATTATCAGTTGGGATTTAATGTGAGAAGTGCCTTTTTCGTTTTTGAACTTAATATTATAGTCACACAAACATTTCTTCTCAGCCAGCAAATTCTAAACTAACTTAGCTTGAATTCGTTATTATGAAATGTAAAACTTACCGGGTCAGGTATGAATTACAGTTGGGGATCACCTCATAATTTAGAAGTCATGAGCTATACTGTGGTTACAACATTGATCTCATACGTAAAATTCCTTAGTCTTCCATTTTATACGGTCATGTTCCACAGCGCTTGTGTAGTTCAGATCACTGTATTACGTAGCAAATTAGTTGTTTGATAGGTGTATCGATATTTCTTCGGTTCTTTGAATGTAGTAAATCGCTATATATATTAAACTTTTGAAATCTCTAATGGTGTAAAGAGTATCGAGTTTTAACAGTATCTTCATGACAAGTTAGTTAGTTTTTTCTAACAAAATATGTGTAGTAGAATCATTGTTTAATTGTTATTAGTATCAATTGTGTAAATGACCTAATTTGTTGACATGGTAGTGATCTGTCATTGGAATGGTTAACAAACAGATTGTCAATGTTGTCCCATCAACTGCTGAAATCCCTGATAATTACAGTTTTCTCCATAAAGATATCTCTCCAAGGAATTCATGGAAATGTATGTTCCGGTAGCATATTTTGTTTTGGATTTATTATCCGTGACATGTAGAACTATGGGGTAGACTCAACTTATGGAGTCATGACTATATTTTTTAGAATTCTTTCTTGATTATCATCTAAATAATTTGTCTAGTTTCCTGTGTTTTTATATCACCTTCCAAGGATGGAAAAAGTCCTTGATTGGGAATGTCTTTTGATCATACCATATTGGTGTACTGTTCGCTGAAAAATCTGATAACTCATTTAGGTAGATTATACTAATTATGTCTATTATAGCATTCTTATTGTGAGGTGTTTTAATACATTATGACTTCGCATCTGCAGTATAGCCTCTGCCAGGGAAGTCTTACTCACTGCCTTCTCGAACCAGGGGTGTTGTTTACGAAATTGAGAGGATGAAAAGCGAATGTCCAATAGTAGCTTTAACCGGGTTGGTGGACATGGAGAGTCCACCTAGGGGAGTTGGAAAACCCTGATTCCAAACCGATGGTGTACATGGGCTCCAGTACCCTGAGGGAACGACTGGCGTATGAACCAATTGTTGGTCACCGGCTTCCATGGGACTGCATCTCCTTACGATGCTCCACTGCCTTGTGGATCAGACCTTTAGGTCAAAGGCTCTGGGTTTGACCCCCTAAGAAAACCACCTGCTCCGGTTCAGGCACCCGGGCGGTGTCACAGCCCTCATACAAATCAAATGAGATTTGTCTGGCGCATATGTATCTGGTGTTTGTGTGTTCAAATAAATAAATACAGTTTGATGCCAAGTACAGAATTGTTGGTTATACTAATTTTATCACGTACCTGATTGACAATCAGTGAAAGCAACACTAATAAAAGTTTCATGTTCGATTACGTAAGTGGCCTCATAATCGTTCCAACGATTCGTAGGGCATATCTAACAAATAACTTTCAACATGAGATCCAGTGTTTTAACTGTATGCTTTTATTACAGTGAGCTGTGATCTAGTTGTAACCTGAATACTTAATTTGTTGTATTAAGAAACAGTTATTGGCTGAATATTCAACGAGAATTTGAGTCGTTAAGACTTAGATATGGGTGGGATTTTTTTGCCTAGTAATTATTTTCTAGTGTCTCTTGATTCTAAACAGTTGGTTTACTTTTTGTTTTCAGTGTTTTGATATTACGTAATATGGTCGGTCCAGAAGATTGTGATGACGAACTAGAAGGAGAAGTGGCCGGAGAGTGTTCGAAATATGGGTCGGTTGAAAAAGTGTTAATTCACCAAGACAGTGCTCATGAGACAAATGAAGAATTCGTCAATATCTTTGTTGTATTTTCTGACCCGTGTTCAGTACACAATGCTGCAAATGCATTAAATAAGCGTTACTTCGCTGGAAGACAAATAACTGCCGAGCCATATGATGTGGAAGCTTTTATGATGAATGACTTATCTCGTTAACTTTTTAGGTGTACCGTTTCTTCTAACAGCCTTGTTTCTTGTAAATACTAAATATAGACATGATTTTGATGTTATTTTCAGAGACTATCTGCAAGTGCTTGTTTCAAAGTGTAATGAATTATGGTGTATCAATGTTTGTTAAACGAAGTTGAGCAGGCTAATTTCTCTACGCAATTCACACACAATCCAATTTATCTAAAAAAAAACTTAAGTAAAGCGTAGTTAGTTGCTTAGCCTAACTTTCAGTGTGCCAAAGGTACTGTGGATGGATTTAAAGATATTCGTTAGGACAGTAAAAATCCTAATTCGAATATACAGTAATATATGAATAGAGCAAAGAGGCATTTCTTTCCAACTAGTTTTTCTTCATAGCTCTGGATTTTAATATGTATAATTTACAGTAATGATAATAAATGGAGTAGTGGTGTAATTATAATATTATCATTTCACAGATGATTACGGAAATAATATCGAATGACTGAGTAGTTGAAAAGGTGATCGAATACGTGTGGTTAACTTCCTAACTGTTGGTTGATAGCTCAACAAGTGTATCTATGGGGACTTGACATTCTGACGTCGTCCGTCCTTTTGATCTTCACATAAAGCAACAAACTGTTGGGTCGGTCCCCGAGAACTACAACGAAGCCTCCAGAGGCCCTAGAGGAGCCGGAGTTCCAGCCAATCAGAACACAATGGAGCCTTCTAGAATATCGACGTGGCATGCTACTATTGGTTAGTAGCATAATATATCCTAGCAGATTGGCCAAAATCTAATGTTGATTTAACGAATGCTAATATCTATAAATACTCGTGTTTTTCTGTACAAGAAAGAACCTTTGAAGTAAAGTGCTTCTCGCATAAAAAAGAAAATTGTTATAGCTTGTGACCCGTGTGCCCTGTTTATTGCATAACGTAACGATACCGCCAATTAAAGAGCAGGTTCGGCATCGTGTTCGGACACAGAGATGATAATGCAATCGATGTCATCATCTTGGGACACCGACTTCGGTGGCTTGGACATGTTCTACGAATGCCGTCCCAGAGAACTCCACGTCGTGCATTATTTGCGGACGCTGGGACTGGTTGGAAAAGCAGGAGAGGTGGTCAGTATATGACATGGTGTCGTGGTATGAAAGAAAGTTGCAAAGGGCTGGCTTCTGTTGGCTCTTCACGACTACCTGGTTGGGGTCCGAAAGATGGTGCAACACAGTGGCTAGAGACGTTATCAGATATGGCTCAGAATAGAAGCCAGTGGCGATCCTGCTGTAACCTTCTTTTAATTTCTTCATAAAAAGTGGTTGTTTCTTCCTTAACTGAAAGATTTCTTCTGATTGTACCTTTCCGTTTCCTCATTATTACTATTACACTACCTTACACTAATCTGTTCGTTGTTGTTCTTTTTTCCCCCTCCTCTTCGAATTCTCATTGTTTTGTGTGGCGCTCTTGTACAAAGATTTATGTGTTCAAATAAATAAATAAAACGACGTCATCTGATTCGATTGGAGAAAAGCCGTTGTTTTATTCAGCATACTTCAGGTTTTATCCTGTTTACACGATTACGCAACATATTCCGTATTATTGTCACTGTATATATCACTTGTTAGGTCTTAACTAATAATCATACCAAAATAGTCAGTCGCACTTGCGAAAGCAAGCAGCAGAAGTGGATAGATATTAAGGGCTATTTAAGGAACTAGTTTTGCCAGGTCAACAACTAGTGAAGTTTGTCACAGTTCAAATCACGAAATGATCTTAACTAGACCACCACTGAAAATTTGGAAGCAATGAACGGCAGCTCCGTCATAGCATAATACTCCGCAGCAGAGCGCACCCACGGCCCGTACACGGGAATCTTACCCAGCACTTAGCACGCAAACACTTAATCCCTATATCACTAAGCTTCCATCGAACGGTGTCTAGCTTCAACCGATCCACTATACTGTCAAGCCCTCCTCATCGCCTGATGTGGATAACTCACACTGATCACGGCCTGTCAGTAGAACTCAAAGATTTGCACCTTGAAGCTACTCACTGGTAAGTACATGATCATTTTAAGTATAGGATTTTGTGGAGATTGTAGAGTCGATTAAAGTTAGACATTACCACTGCTGAACGTAGAATCAGTGGTCCCAAACTAGGATGAAACGGCCGTTCAGGGCTTTCAATGGTAATCTATGATCATTTCGTAATTTTAACAATTAAAATTCTACATTCTCCACAAAATCCAATGCTTGTTTGCAATCTGTTTGTAGAGTTGAGAAAATTAACAAATCTAATTCCTCGTGACATCTATTCGCAGTCATCTGATTTTATCATTTATTCAGTAAGTTAACTCGGATGATACATGTAATTTTTGTCAAGCTGTTATATCTTATATGTGGTAAAAGGGAAAGTCGGCACAAATCAGGAAGTAACCATTGATTCACATTGTCAGAATTCCACTAGCTTCGGGTACTTACTATTAAGAAACTCCACGATTTGGTACCGTAGTTTTACATTCTGAGGACCAAACATTTTCAGTGTGCATGATGGTCACCTAACCAAACTGACTCGCAACACGTAACTCAACCGTTTATACTGATAGGCGACAAAAAATTCTCCAGTAGTCGGTTCCATTTGAACATAGTATATTTCCAAGTCATTGCGTATCAAAGACTTGAACGTATTTTTATGTACAACAGCAACAAAATGTAAAAGTCGCTACGGAGGAAAAGCAAGCTTTTTTTCAATGAGCAGAAACATGTGAACAATGGTACTAATATGAAAAAAATGTAATACTGAGTGACGCATCAGTGGTACATCGTCAACCACTGATTGTGTTTAGGAAGCTAGTAAGTGTCATCTCCATATTTGGTTTTCGAAACACCTGGGAATCGCTCGAATATTAAGCAGGAGTTTCAAACAATCCTACTGTACAAGGAACCACTACCAAGTACTATGTGGAACGTGAGTCTCATTGATTTCCTGATCTGAATTCAAAAGTCGATGTAATAACATAAATACTACCATTATAACAACACATCTTAAGCTAGTAGGAATGCATTTGGCACTAACCATTCAAGTTAAAACTTCGGGCTTGGACAACGGTTAATGTGGACCCCTTTATAAAACCACCTGGACTTTTAACGTCAGTGGTAAGCATCTTTAAAGGCACATTATATAATAAACGTTCTTTACGAACAAACGACTTTGCTGCTGTTGACTGGGAACATCCATATAACAAATTACGACTCATTCTTTAGCTTGATCCGGTTTTCATATGGAAGATAAAATATAAGCCTCACAAGGATAATCGATATGGATCCCCTCAAACTATTTAAAGCAAGACCTATACACTCAGAGACTGAAATAAAGTTGGAATCTGCACCACGCCATTGGAGTCACATAAAATACCTTAACGGTAATTTGATTGGTGCGATACATACATGGAAATTAAGCAGAACATTTGGCTGCTTTTTTTCTAGTAGGATTGTTACTAGCAATACTTTTGGCCGGATGATGCAGTTTGAAGAAACAGAAAATAGGTATACAGGAATAAGTAATCCATGGTTTACTCGGAAGTACTTTACAGAACTACTGAGATAATACATCTTTGTTTATTACGTGAGCTGTAATTTCTAAATAGTTCTATAAAAAGATGTGCTCTTCATGCAAAAAGTAGATTAGTGGTGCTTGAGATAGGCATATGGAACCCGACTATATCCTAGAAAGCTTCTTCGTCCAATCATTTCCCCCATGAAAAACCAACAGAGTACTTCCGCTGTCACTACAGCATTAACAAGCCCTTCCTGAAAATAAATAAGAGTGCATCAATACATACCTTAACGGAAACATTTTTCCAAGCACCACTTTTGAATGCACACATCAGTTTTGTTGCTTGTTCGACTGCTGGCTTGAGATCCGCTTGTGTTGGTGGCCTTAGTTCCACCCTTGCATATTCTCGAAACTTAATCAATCTTGGTGAAGTTTCCTGAATAACGAAGGCAGAGACCTCTACAGGGCTCAAGAGAGAAAGAAAACATACTAGAAGCTAAATTAATCACCCTGGTTAATCTATCTGCCATTTTAGTGACCGCCAACAACTTATTGACCTTGTTAAGTTTTCAATGAAATCCCAATTAACTGGAAATTCACAGCTTCCGGCTTTTTTTAAACTTGGCGTAATGGGTGCCAGCTTCCAATTTTATGGGTCCGGGCTTCGTCTTAGAGATTGTCAGAACATCATACTAAGCGGTCTTGCAAAAATTAAAGCTGCTCCTCTTGGATGCTGCGGTTTCTAAAACAACAACTCCCACATGAACAGGCTTACAAACGCAATGCGTTCAGTTAAACCTGTTTCCACTCGACCTCAATCAACCGATGTTTTCGTCCAACCTGACTTACGATATAGTACACATTTTTTCGTTCGTCGAGACTCGCATCGACGACCTATCGAATCAGAATGGGAAGGACCTTTCAAAGTTCTTCAAAGCGAACCGAAGTACTATATAATCGATAAGAACGGAACCAACGATCGCATCAGCATCGATCGCCTCAAAGCAGCGTATTTGGAAGGAAATCCTATCTACGTCGATTTTCCTTCGGTACAATCGAACGACACGACTCTGACACTTATAATACCTCATCCGACTGCCAACACACACGATGATACTTCGACAGTTCCTGAAAATAAACTTAAAACAACGCGTTCTGGAAGAAGAGTAAGATTTCCAGAACATTTAAATGACCATTGTACGTAAGATACTAGTTAACATTTTGTTTCATCTCGATTTTCCATGGTATAATGTGATATAAAAAATCAATTTTTATATGCTTATATTTATATATATTTATTATTTGGCTAATACGTATATTAAAATATTTTTGAAATCAAAAACAAAAACAAAAAACATTTTGTAAAAATCGCTTTTACGTTACTTATACTTTCTCGCCCATTTTGTGTCTTAAAGCATGTAAGAGTTTATTTCAACATGCACTTACATTTTCTTTTTTCTTTTCTAGAACTACTGGAAAAGGCGATAAAAAGAACGATGAGGTTTACGAGGGACCGAAATTTTGATTGTACATTATTTTCTTACTATATTATATTTCATGGTCCCTTGTAGTAAGGCAAGACGACCAGACGCTGCTAAACCTAGGAAGCTATCGGAAGAGTGTTTACCGACGACAAAACTCGTTGGGTTTAAACTTCTGACTGGCCACATCCTTAGGGTCATCACTATCCCACTAGGAGGGGAGTGATCTGTAGCGGTAAAAAATAAATCCCCAAAATAAATAGCTCTGTAAGTTTTAGATATTGGATGCTGACCACATGTTTTAATGGACTCACCCAGCTGAAGGCCCTCGGTCATGCATCCGCACCAGATCACGTGTGGGAACGCCGTGCTCAAAATCCCCTGCAGTCGCTAGCCAGACTAGATCAGACAATTCCGATATATTGACAATCGTCAAATACAATTTCTGATCTCCTCGATTCTGTCTTTTGATTTCTCTTGGTGGATACGAGTTATATCCGAAGGTGTTACTGGTAAAATCGTTGTCAAACACTGAATACCTGTGCCATCTCCAGGACTTAACAACTGGGAAACTTTATTTTTGATTTGTCCAAGAGAAGCTGGACGACAGAATAGGCTTCATGGACTGAAGACAATTTGCCGATTAGCTTTATCTGATACTGAAGCCTATGTTCTGTTATTGCCTTAGTGCATTGTTTGAACTGCCTATTGTGTTGTTGCCGCTAGTTCACTTGTATTCAACCTAGTAGTTCCTTTTTCTTCTTAGCCCTCGAAGTGTGCGATTCTTTATAGCTGTACTTTGTTTGTAATTTTATAGCACCTAAGTTCATGTGCACTAAGTAGTCGCAAATGAATATTCTCATCCAGTTGAGGGTGGACTTCCCAATCCATCTACTGTAGGTTGTTCTGTAAAGCTGACACATCCAACCTCTAATATTTCAACGCCTGTTGTTAAACCGATGTTTTAGTTCAGTTTTGTGGTAAAATTGAAGGCCAAGACTGCGTGGTCACCTTTTCCAAGGTGAACTAGGATTGAGAGGTTATCATTTAGAAATTCTTCGTTTATAATTATCCATCTTAAGGTTGGAGGCATCCGACTGTTTCTACACTGACTTGGTAACTCCGCGTTTTCAAACAGGCCCGAATCCTCAGTAAGGTTGAGGAACTAAACTTTACTAGAGTTGTCATTTACAATAAACGTGTATTCTGTGAAGTTGACTTTAGGGAGATTGAAGTCTCATAGAATAGGGCGGAATAATCCCCCCAACATACGATTGCCATACTCGGTGTCAGTGGTGGGCTTCCTATAGTTGGCTTCAACTAGATACCTCAAGGTGTTGGTTAATCTCACCAAGCATCAAATAGTAAACTCATAAGTGTACTCTCGATGTACTAAGAAGCAAGATAGTAGATACAACACTGTTTCGCCTACAATACCTGTTTTTCTGTCTTTGCGAAACGAATTATTGTCGAGTATTGCCAGTAAATGATCCGTGACGTAATAAGATGCCCATGTTATAAATATTCCCGTCACATGATTATCATTGGCTTCACTTAGTTCGCGCAGCTGATTCGTTTTGTTCGGTAAACCCACAGCTTTCGTGTATAGGTATAAATGCTTTCTATTCGAAACATATGAGCGTCCATACTCTATTATTGTGAATGGCCAGGAAACCTATTTATGGTCCCTGTCCCTTCCACATTTTTTCCTTGATCTTGACAGTTCACAAGCGGGATGGTTAGTTTCATTTTACTTTTGTGTTTAGTCTCTTAATCATGTGTCTTGTCCAGATACGTGTGGATTTTAGTCGTCAACAGGAATCTGTCGGCAGAAAATGATTGGAAAGTGGAAGCCATCATCTTGAAGGTTTGGAACGTTATTTTCATTAGTCAAGGTCTTGAACCCTCGTCCTTCTTGCGTAATCGCATCACTATGTTCCTGAGCTTCAAGAATTGCTCTGTGGATTTGCATTCCAGATTATCACAGTCTGCATAATCAGAGTTCGTGTTGTCTTGAACACCTTACGCAATGAAATACCTTCCACGAAAGATCACCTCGTTAGATTCCCTTGAAATTTCTCTGATTAGATTGCGCTCAGAACATGGTATGTTAGTCAGGGTCCTAACATTCCCTTCTAATTTCAGTAAGTAACTAGCTGGCAGAACATCCTCCATATTTGCAGTTTTAGTGAACGTTTTGCGAATGAGCCCTGTATAATATTGGAGTTTGGCAAATTTTCCGTGCTAGGCCGTACAACAGCTACTGGATGTCCACGATTCCTGTTTCACTGTTCTCAAAGCAGCCCGTCTTTTCTGTCTTGTAGACTGAGAGGAAGGTCGGAGAAGTCGTTAATGTGCACGATTATGAAAAAATCATAGCGAAACGTGATTTTTCGACCGGGTTCTTTATTACATTCAAGTCTTTTTTGTCTGTTAGTCAGAACAAGGTCAGGATTCCTGTGCTTTTCGATGACTTGTTAAACAATCGTAGCAGTAGATTGCACGGTCGACTCTCGAGCTGATTTTCTTGCAAGACTTGGGTTGTTCAGCGTTTTTGGTGACGACATTCAGTCACTCTGAAGCCCGTTGACGAGGGTTCAGGGACATATTGTAGAAGTTTCGAGGACCACATTTACGCATGGATACAAGTTGACTGAGAGAGTCCGTAACAACTTGGGTTAATTATTTAAGAGTTGACAACTAAGTATATGTTAAAACAATAGAGCTCAATTATTCACTCAATACCATATTTTGAATAGGGATTATAATTTCTATTATATCATATTGAATGTCGAAAAATTTGTGTTTGAACAAGTAAACTCGCGCTCCACTGTGTGCCCCCCATGAGCTAAATAAAGACTTATCCACTACTAGTTTGGTATTTTCTATCAGTAGAACGTGGATACTTACAGACATGAAAAGCCAAACATCTTTCCCATTATGATGGTGCTGATTTCCAGCGTATCCTCACCTATTTTGATGCTTGTTCCATTGATACTAATGTTGTCGAAAACCCTTTCCTTTACCTCACTGAGAACCTTTTTAAAGGGTTCCCAACAATCTTTTCTGCAAACCTGTTGGAAGAATAATGATATTCTTTTAAAAAATTATCACCAATCATGATGCATCTGCCCCACTAAGTTTGCTGTAAGCAGTTACTTTAAGGTCTGTATATGCTTCGTAAAACTAACCATTACATTTATCACGCTGCATGCAACAGTTGTCAACGGAACGGTATTCAAGTTGCTCATAAGTGATTTCAGTGACCATAGTTAGATCTAAGTCGTAAACCAGCTTCTAGCGCAAATTTACAACCGTGAAAAAAAACGGCATACTGAAGGCGGATGAGACAGATAATAGTGTAGTGTTTAAAAAGTTGTGAAATATTTAAAACAGACTCGACAAGAAAAATAATAAACGTCGAACAGCTGCCTAGGCAAAATTACAGCTAAATACTAACCCTCACGAAACTCCAAGAGAAAAGTATAAATCTTTACATAAAAATGGTTCTTTTGTTATGTAAGGATGCAGCAACAGTTTAGGAAATGCAAATCACGTTATATCAGTGCTTTCAATTTGTAAAACGCTCGTGCGCTACACTGAAATGGTGTGAAAAGATTAAGTTTACAATTACGGGATTCATGAAAGCTGCTTGAACCGCCTTAGGGGGCCATGAATTTGAAGATTTTTTTACGCTTTAAAGGTGAGACGTTTAGGGACGAATTTGTTGTATAAGACTTCCACGTTAAGGAAGAAAATATATGCATTTAGAAGTAATTCCCCAGGGTCAACAGTTTTCAGTCAACCGCGATCGGTGCTTGCTAATTATTTCCGGTAGACGGTAAATATTTGAATATGTGAGTCATAATAAGTGAAATGTTCCGTATATAATACGTACTTCAAGGGCTTTTATGAACTGATTTGTCTGTCATCCACTTGCAGAAATAATATAACTAGTCATACTCTTCATTAACCAAACACGTCCTCTTAACACCCAGATGTTTATCTTGCAGAAGAAATGGTTTGCTGATTTGCTCAAACAAACGTTT